ATAAATTTTCCCTTAAGTACTACTTTGCTGCATCTCACACATTTTAGTATGTTGTCTCATTGTTGTCATTCACTTTAATGAAATTATTGATTGTTTCTATGACTTGTTCTTTGACTCACTCATTCTTTAATATTAGATTATTTAGTTTCCAATTAATTTTTAATATCTGCTTTCAAGGCCATTTACTGAATATAATTTTTATTGCACTACAGTCTAAGAAGGGTATATTTAACAATTCTGCTTTTCTGCTTTTTGTGAGGTTTTTATGCTCCACTGCATGGTTTGGTTTTTTTTTTTTTGTGAAGGTGCCACATATGGATGAGAAAAAGGTACACTCCTTTCTATTCCCAGTTTTCTCCAGAAATCTAGCATATCTAACATTTTTTTCCCTAAACTACCATTTATCTTCTTAACTGCCTTTTTTATTTATTTTATGGTTAACTTTGTGTGGGGAAAGTTGAGGTTCCTCACTAGCATATTTTTACTGTATATTTCTTCCTGTAAATCATTTAATTTTCCCATTAAGAATTTGGGTGTTATGTTATTTGGTGCATATATTTAGTATTGATATTACTTCACTGTCTATGGTGCCTTTTATCAAGATGTAGTTTCCCTTCTCATCTCTTTTAATTAAGTCTATTTTTCCTTTTGCTTTGTCTGAGATCATGATTTTGACCCCTGCCTTTTTTGTTTTTGCTGAAGCAAGATAGATTCTGCTCCAGTCCCTTATTTTAATTTTGTGTGTATCTTTCTCCTTCAAGTGTATTTCTTGTAAACACTGTATTTTTGGATTCTGGTCTCTAATCCATTCTAATATCTATTTTGTTTTATGGGTGAATTCACTCCATCTACATTCACAGTTATGATTACTACTGTGAATTTCCCTCAAACTTACTTTCTTCTGTTTATTTGTTTGTCTCTCTTTTCTACTATGTCCCTCCTCAAAAGTTTGCTTTGCTTCTGACCACTGACTCCCTTAATCTGCTGTCTCTTTTAGCACCAGCCCCTTCTTTTACTCCTTCCCCTTTTATTTCCTTGTTGGATAAGACAGTTTTCTATGCCCAATTGAATGTGTATAAATACATTCCTCCTCTTGTTCAAATTCTAATAACAATGAGGTTCAAGTGTTGCCCACTTCCTGCTCATTTTCCTCTCTACCATAAAAGCTCTTCCTTATGCACCTCTTTTATGTGAGATAATGTTCCCTATTTTTCCTCTCCTTTCTCCCATTGCATACCTCCTTCTCACCCATTCTTTTTTAGATCATCCCAACATAATTAAATATCTCCCATGTGCTCTATGTAGAGTCCTTCCAATTGCCCTAATAATGATAAAGTTCTTAGGAGTTACATGTATTTTATTCCCATGTATGAGTTTAAACAGTTTACCTTGCTGAGTCCCTTATGCTTCCTCTCACGTTTATATTTTTATGCTTTTCTTGATCTTATATTTGATTGTCAAATTTTCTTTTTGGCTATGCTCTTTTCATCAGGAATGCTCAAAAGTCTCCCATTTTATTAAGTGTTCATTTTCTTCCCTCAAGGTTTATACTCACTTTTTCTTGGTAGGTTATTCTTGGATCTAATCCTAGCTCCTTTGCTTTCCAGAATATCATATTAACAGCCCATTGCTTCTTTACCATGGAAGCTGCTAAATCTGTATGATCATGACTATGGATTCACAATATTTGAAAGATTTCTTTCTGTTTCCTTGAAGCATTTCTCCTTGGCCTGGGACCTCTGGAATTTGGCTAAAATATTCCCAGGAGTTTTCATTTTGGAATGTCTTTCAGGTGGTGACCACTGGATTTTTTTTCAATTTCTATTTTACCCTCCAGTTCTAGGATATCGGGGTAGTTTTCCTTGATAATTTCTTGAAATCTGATTTCTCAGCTCTTTTTTTATCATGACTTTCAGGTAGTTCAATAATTCTTAAATTACCTCTTCTCAATCTATTTTCCAGGTTAGTTGTTTTTTTCCAATGAGATATTTCACATTTTCTTCTTTTTAATTATTTTTACTTTGCTTTATTATTTCTTGATATCTCATGGAATTATTAGCTTTCATTCACTCAGTTTTAATTTTTAAGGAATTATTTTCATTAAACTTTCTATCTCTTTTTTCCATTTGGCCAATTCTATTTTAAGGTGTTATTTTATTCCATATTTTTGAACCTATTTCACCCAGCTTCAAAATGTGTTTTCATAATTTTCTTGCATTGCTCTCATTTCTTTCCCTAGTTTTCCTCCACCACTCTTATTTGATTTAAATTTTTTTTTTTTACCTCTTCCTGGAATTCTCATTTAGTTTATAGCTTATAGGTGTTTTGAAGTAGTTTTCTTCTGAGTTTGTCTTCATCTTTTCTGTCACCATAGTAGATTTTAATGGTTGTGTTCTTTTTCTTTTTTGCTCATTTCCTGGTCTGTTTCTTGACTTTGAACATTATTTTAAAGTTGGAAAGTTGGGATCTATTCCTGGGGCAAGGGTTGGGGAGCACTGTCTCAAGTTTTATCTCACTAATGATTTCAGAGCTAGCTCTGGGGGTTGGGGGTGGTGTTGGTCTGTAAGGTGTTTTTTTTTTGGTTTGTTTGTTTGTTTGTTTTTTTTTTTGTTCCAAGGTAGTGTAATCCAGGGAGTGGTATGGTTATTGCTTTCCTGGTCTTCACTCTGGTCCTTACCCATTTCTTAAAACCAGAAGCTATACTGCTCTTCAGAGCCTCACGTCTCTTGGGACTAAAAGCAATAGTGATTCTCAATGCCCCTGATCCTTTGGGACTTCAAACTTCCTTCTCCATCTTGAAATGATGACCTGGAAGTAGGTATAGATAATAGAGTTTCCAAACTGACCTGTTCTTTGTCTAGTGCTACTGCAAGGGTCCCTTGTAATCTTTTTTTGACCAGCTGCCCGATTTCATTACTGTCTCTGACTTTAGAGCTCCCAGCGGAGCTGCTGCTGATACTATTGTCATTACTAAGTCCCCCAATTGATGTTGCTGCCACATGGGCTCTTGGCCAGCCCCTACCCCAGTGTCACAGACCTCTCCTTTTAACCTTGTAAGTTGTCTTGGACTGAAAAATAATTTCTCACCCCAACCTTTTATTGGTGCTGATGCTTCAAAATAAATTTGAGGTATTATTTAAAGTTGTCTGAAGGGGAAGCTTGGCTGTTGCCTGCACTCCATCATATTGGCTCTGCCCCTGGAATTCCCCAATTTCTCTGATAGTGTGGTCTATAAGCTGGGAAAGGGAGGGAAGAGAAAGAAAGAAAGAGAGAGAGACAGAGAGAGACACAGACACGTACACAGACATGTACACAGAGACAGATAGACAGACACATAGACAGTGACAACAGAGGCAGAGAGAGAGAAAGAGAGAGGGAGGGAGAGAGAGAGACAGAGACAGAGACAGAAAGACACCAAGAAAGTGACAGAGAGAGCCAGAAATTCTTCCCCCAAGGGATTGCCCCTCAGGGATTTGGGTGAAAATCTTCAATAAGTAAGCAAATCCATAGTTTGATCAGGTTAACTATTAAACTTAATAGTATTTTTGTATAGAGCCTAGGAGATGTGACTTAATTTTCCCAATGAAAATCTTTTCAATTGATCAAAAATATGTTTCCTTTGAGGAATCCTCTTCCTTTCTTCCAAAGATCAAAAGTCCTCTGATCTTTTCAATTTAATTAAGGGTTTTTCTTCATAGTATTATGATTTTTATAAGAAAATTCCTTAATAGTTCACTTTGTTGGTCAATTGATTGATGCAATTAAAGTGCCTTAGCCTTCTGTGGTTATGTTAATTTGGATTGAAGTTTCATATAATTTCTGGCTACTTTTCTGTAAACCTGTTCTCCCTCTAGTATAATCTATGCTCCTTGAGAAGAGGGTCAGTTTTTTGCTTTGTTTTGTTTTTAGTTGCTATCGTTTGTTTTTTGTCTTAATATTGCCGTCACCTGACACAAAGCCTAGAATATGATAGGAATAGAAACTGGACTGATACCTTCTCTGCAAATTACAGTCTTTGAGATTTGACTAAGTCACTATGAAGCTGGGAGTTCCCTAGGATTATGCAGGCAGGATGAAGCAGCTGGTTAGCACAATACTGGACTTGAAATCCGGAAGCACTGATTTCAAAGCCCATCTTAGACACTTACTAGCCATATGTCCCTAGGCAAGTCACTTAACCTCTCTTAGTCTTAGTTTCTTTATCTGCAAATGGGGATAATAACAGCATCTGCTTCCCAGAGTTGTGAGGATCAAATGAGACATAAATATAGGGCCTTGCAAACCTCAAAGTTCTATGTGAATACTAGTTATTATTATGTATCAGAAGCAGGATTTGAATTCAAGTTTTCCTGGATTCAAGGTTGGCTATCTATCTACTTCATCAACTTCCCTGACCTGGATCATTATTAAATAAATGTTTGCTCAATGAATAAAAGAATGGATTACTTTTGTGAAATGTACAAATAAACTGTCAGCAGAGTGCCTCTTCTGAACATATACACATTAAGAGACCTCAGTGATTCAGTCCCAATTATGATTCCCTTAAGTATGCATGTTTTTCTCTTGGATGTAAATTTTTCTATTTCATAATCCTAATAGATGCTAAGTATGCCAAATAGGAATTTTCTTTTATATGGACATATTTATCTAATGAATTGGCATTGCATTTGCTGGCAAACAAAATAATGGTGAAGTTACTGGCTCTCCTCTCCTCCCATCTCTCACCCACCCAAGAGCTAAAGGCTGATCTAGATACTTTGGTGTGAGTTAAGATGCCAGAAAAGCTGAGGGAAATGCCTTGTCTCATAAATCATTTGAGGAATAATGGCAAGGAAACCAACAGAAGGGGGATAAGGACAGGAAATGCGCTAGAAATCATCACAGTGTTCCATAGATTAATCCAAACAGGCTTCCTTAATAAAGTCTTCAGATGGAGATAAGATCAACAGCATTATTTACTATCAATTTCAAAATGATTTAGGACCAGAGAGGAGGAAAAGCAAATGCTCAGGATTCACACCCTGCTGGGAGGCAGGTTATCATGTAAATAAATTGAATGGAGTCAAATGGAGCCACAGTACAATTTACTTCCAAGAGACCTAATGATTCCTGAATGTCTTTATTTCGTTACATGGTATTTAAGGCAGTCATACGGTTACTTGTCCATGTGTTCTGGGCCAATAACTATTCATGGCAGCAGAGTAGGAAGCAGAGCTTCTTTGATAGACTTTAATGAAAGATGAGAAATGGAATTCCATTTTAATGGAAGATGAAGCATGATACAGTGGATGGTTTAATCCCACCTCTGACACTTACCTTCAATAACCTCAGGTAAGTCACTTAACTTTCATAAGCCTCAGTTTCTTCATCTATAAAATGAGGGAGTTGGCAGGGTGAAGACTAAAGTGAAACAGTCCTTCTCATGAACAAATTTACATGATGATGGGGGAGAGAACCTGTATGTATGTAGGTATTAGTGAGACATTTAGAAATAATATACAAGGCTATTTTGGAAGAAAAGGCACTAGCAGGTGAAGGAACTAGGAATGACCTCCTGAAAGAAATGAGGTAAATCTTGAAAAAAAAAGGGTTCTAGGAGGTTGAAGTAAGGAAAGAAAGAATTTAGGGCATGAGGAAAGCTAGGGTAAAGGCATGGGGTTAGGAGATGGAGTTTTGTTTTTGATGAGTAGCAAGTTGGTCAGAATAACTGGACCATAGAGGGCATAGAATAAAGTGACATGTAAGTAGATTAAGGGGTAAGAAGGGTCTAGCTTTAAATACCAGAGGAGTTTATATTTGATCCTGGAGGCAAAAGGGAGATCTTGTAGTTTATTGGGTGGGGGGGGATATATTTAGAGCCTCACTTTCGGGGAAAAATCAACCTCATCACTTTGGCAGGTGTGTGGATGCTGGATTGGAGGGGGAAACATAAGGTAAGGGGATAAATTAGGAGGCTGTTGCAATAGTCCAGATAAGAGACAATGTAGGCCTGATCTGGGGACATGGCTGTATGAGGGAAGAGAAGAAGACATTTCTGAGAGGTGTTGTAAAGGTAAAATTAAGATTTGGCATTTTGTTAGATATGTGGGCTGAGATAAAGGGAAAAATTGCAGATCATCAGCAGTCAGTCCTATAAGACATCCATGTTCACCATGAAGGTGGTTGAAGGAGGTGCTGTGGAGAGCTTAGAGCTTGGTCAGACATCAAAGACACCAAGTTCATCCACTGCATCCCCAGTCAATCATCTTGACTTTTGACTTGCACTGGATTTTGATGACTCAGGAAGAGAGAGTAAGGCTGACGACTTTGTATAACTCTGTCGCCCTTAAATCTAATTCACACATAAGTCAAGACATCATTTGTGATGTCATTGGTCCTCTTCGAAAACAAAGATGAACAACAACATGTTCAAACATAGCTTCCAGATCCCCATTATATCATTATGGGAAACAGCAAACTTGACATGATTTGAAAACCACAGAAAGGAAAAAAAAATAATTAATGGCCCTTTCAAATATTAAACATAATGAATTGTCTGATAGATAACAGAAAAGATATGCTAAAATTGTACATCTAATTACATGGTTTTCTGGGTGAGCTGCCTCAGTTGAGAACATTGTGTAAATGAGCTGGCATGGATTTACCTGGCACTAGGTGAATAACAAGAATTGATTTCAAAATTGGCATTTAAACTGTTAGCTGTTCCTTACCACAATTTGCTGCCAATAATACTTTAAATTGAGCCCATTGTACAAATTAGCATGAGCCTGTGGACCCAGCAAAATTAAGTGGATCAAAAGGAAATGAGGTTTCAGGCAAGAATTTTTAATATTCTCCCACTGGGAACACTGTGTCTTCTTTTGGGTATAGGTATGCCCTTCATCGGCTGCGAGGTGACATTGGAATCAGAAGTAACTGAGTTCTTATCTTGTCTCAGACACTTATTACCTTTGTGACCCTGGTCAAATCACTCAACCTGTATTTGCCTCAGTTTCCTCATTTATAAAATGGGGCTAAAAATAGAACCGACCTCCTAGGGTCGTTGTGAAGATCAGAAGAGATAATAATTATAAAGCACTTAGCACAGTGTTTAGCACAGAGTAAGTGCATTATGAGTGTTAGCTATTATTATTTATGAACATGGGCAAGTCACTTCACTTCTCTTAGCCTTTCTTCCCTCACAGGGTTTTTGGATTCAGTCGAAGGGCCACACTTGAGGACCTAGAGGGCCACATGTAGCCCTGAGGCTGCAGGTTCCCCACCCCTGACCTAGAATATAATAAATGCAGTGACATTCCATTCACTTTCATGGTAATAATAATAATAATAATAATAATAATGATAATAATAATAATGATAATGATAATAATGATAAGGAATAACACATAAATATATATATATATACATATATATATATCATTCTAAGGTTTTCAAAGTCTTTTACATAAATTATCTTCATTTAATACACACCAGGCTTCTTAGGACTCATGAACATTCTTCTCGGTAGTATGAGAATGAGTGTAAAATATTTGGAGATGGGGGGACTTGACAACATTTTAGTGGATATTTCCCCATTTTTGACATTCAACTATGGGTCCAGATAAAGAATGGTGATTTTCCATCCTCTATTCAAATCTCTAAAGGGGATAAAGAACATAAAAGAAACCCAAAAGATAAATGCCAGAGGAAGGTTATTATTCTCATAAAAAAAGCTTTTTGAGAGAGGTGTGTGTGCAGCCTAATCCTAAACAGTGAGCACGGAACCACAAAAGTAAATTAGAAAGGAAAAGCTGCTTCATCCAAGCCCTTCTCATTCTATTCAGGGCCTACTCTGGAAAGGGTCATTTGATAATTTTCACAAAAATTGGGGTTTATAAGATTTTATGATCGTAGCTTTAGAGATAGAAGAAGTGTTAAACACTTTTCTAAATTCACATGGATAATAACTGTAACAATAACAACAATAATCACTATAATGATAACAATAATAATAATAACAAACTACCCTTTTTGCTATATTCTTCATAATAATCTACAAAGGACAAAAGGTAAATAATTATTATTTCCATTTTTTAGAGGTGGAAACTCAGAAAGATTATGCCCTTGTCCCAGGCCTTCCAACTCAAAATGAGGTCTACTCGCACCATAAAGCAATAGAGCAACACTGAAGAAGCAGTTCTAGAAGCCACGGAAGGGGACACTTCTTTGGATGCATTACTGAATGACCATTTGTTAGATATGCTTTATCAGAGGTTCCAATTCAGGTATGATTTGGAATGGATTGAGGTCCTTTTCAATTCTGGGATTCTGGGATTCTATGATTTTGTAATGGAAATTCTAGAGCCTCTATATGTTTCTCTGTAATTAAGAGAAAGCACAGTGTGGTGTATGGTGGTGGATAATAGTCAAGAAAACCTGCTGTATTCTAATCTGGGCTCTACCCCTCTGTGACCTCTGGGGAACCATTTAATCTATATGAGCCTTAGTTTTTGCATTTATAAAATAGGGTTAATACTGCTTGTAATTATTACTTGTAATTATTACTTCATAGGGTTGTTGGGAGGAATCAAATTCAATTCAATTCACTTCAGCTAGCATTTATCATGTACCTGCTATATGCCAAGCTCTATGCTGGGTGTTTGGAGATACAAAGACAAAAAACAAACAAATTGTCCCTGACCTCCAGTAGTTTGATTTTTCTTTTCTGGATAATGGAGGTAAATGAAAATGACTTTTGTTGTCGATATTTTTAGAAGATTTTTCTGGGGCAAAGGTCAGGTAGATTTCAGGAATCTGAATGGTTCTTCTATGTATAGCTGGATTTGAAAATACCTTTCCTTAACACCTTCTAAGTAATGACAAGTTAACTTCAGAAATATAGGCTAATCCAGAGGTGTGCAGTTAAAGTTTTCAACAACTGGCTCTCTGAAAATAAATGTACAGCAAGACACTTTCAAGTTTCATCTTCAGTACTAACATTTACTCCATCACTTTAAGTCTAGACAGTCAATAAAACAGTAAATCAAACCCTAATGTATATAGCATTTACCAATTCCCGAGGTGTGGATGCTCACACTGCACATTTAACAATGGGCTGGATTTGAGCTGACTCTAGCACAAGATCCCTTCTTCTTTAGGAAACTCTGAAATGATTGTGTGAAATCACTACTTTGTGTGATTTCAAAGTGAATTCAGGGACATACATCCCAGGGATGAAATATGGAATATGAAAAAGCATTTCCTTACCCCAGCATTAGGCTCCAATGGAGTCTCTCTTACAGGCTCTTGAACTTAGAATATCCTAGTTGTTTTCATGTTGTAACTGCTAGAATGTATTCTTCTTGAGGGCAGGAACTGTTTTTGCCTTTCTTTATATCCTCAGAGCTTTGCCAGTGCCTGGAACACAGTAAGAGCTTATAAAAAGACTTGACTGAATGATTGCCTTTGGTTTCAATCTTTCCTCTTCACCTATGTGACTTCCAGCATGTCTCTTCACCTGTCTGACATACCCTAGCTGTGTGCCCATGGATGAGTCTTTTAATATCTCAGTTTACCAGGCAACTCTATATTTAGAACATTTCTCCTTGACGATAAGGACTATTTCTATTTCATCTTCATATTTCCAACTCCCAAAGTAATGTTAACATGTTATAGGTGTTCAATAAAGACTTGTTGAATTGGATTAGATTGAATTGAATCAAGACTATAAAATGGAGGCCATAGATGAGTTATGTGAGTAGAAGAAGTTTCTATATTCATTGTTTCCTACGCAGATCAGTACTAGACAGAATAAAAAGACTTAGCTGTTACTCCTAGTTTTGTTAGTTACTATCTGTACAATTCAGGAGTCCCTTAATTTTGTAAATCTAATACCTTCATCTACCAAATGACAATAATAATACCAAAGCCTTTTGTCTCATAGGGTTATTGTGAAGCTCAGATGAGATAGATGTTTGAGTCTGTAATATATAATAGAAAGAATATTGGCTCTGATTTCAAAAGAATTTGGTTCCAATCCTTTTTCTGAGAGGTTAGTACCTATGTGATCTTGGGCACAAGTCACTTAACCTCTCTTGGCCTCAATTTTCCCAGCTTTCAAATTAGGGTGTTGGACAAGCTGAAGTCTGAGAACTAGACCCAGGATCCTCAGATCACACCTTTCTGCCCTTGGAAAACTATTTTTTTCCTGTAAAGACACAGAAGGCCTCTGATAACATTAATTGCAGGAAGCTCACAACACACAGAGGTGGGACTGTTTTGTAAGCAAGAGCTGTTATTTTAATGGGGGAAAACTAAAGCTAAGAAAGCCCAAGCAGCTGCCTGGAAGGATGCTGTCTGGTGAGTCAGAGGCTGAAGCATAAACAAGTCTTTTAAACTTTGTAGTCTTGTGATCCCAGAGTGAATGACAACTATTATCTCAGTTACTGTTATGTTCAGGCTTCACTTCCTGTCACAAAGTCAACAAACAGGACTGCTTGACTCTGAACTAGCCTCAGGACCATGCAAATCTCCAGTGTCTTTTATGAAGAGCAAAATGAGACCTTGCTTAATCTTCATTTTTCAAAAGTTTATGTTTTTAAATGAATCTTAAGAACTAGTAATGAGCATGAAAGCATTAAATCCCAGCTCCGTTGGCTTGGAGGACAGAAAAAGACTTCTGGCCTGAAAACACTGCCTGAAACTTCCTCTGATGGCAGCCACTTGCAGGGCAAGGCTGGAGGGCAGTGGCATTTCCTTAGGTGGATTCCTTGCCTGTCCCAAATGCTGAGTGGTAACAAAAGCATTTAAGAAAGAGGAAGAGAATTGCTGACATTTTGCCCAGATGTTGATTAACAGCTAGAGACAGGACAAATAAAAATGTTTAATCTCAACTTTAAAGAAGGAAAGTAAATAGAAAGTAATGTGACCTTTGGGAGAGAAAAGGAAAAAAAAAAGAATTTTGACCTTTGTATACAGGAACACTCACCTTTATTGAAAACTAACACTTCTTCAAGGTATTCTCTTATGACTTTCATTGTAAGCAGATTTTTTAGGGTGGTTTTTCAAGATAACTTTCTTTTGACATATCTTTATAGAAAATGTTAAGATGTGATTTTTTTAAATAAAATCCAAATTAGAAATTATAAGTAGCAGCGAAGTGACTATTATTATTACTTTTAAAATAGTGATATTTGAAACACTTTGGGTTTAATAATAGCTATCATTTATACTCTATAGTGTTGTAAGGTTTGCAAAACACTTTGCATATATTATCTCATTTGATTCTCTTAAGAACCCTATGAGGCAGGTTCTATTATTATCCTCATTTTACAGGTGAGGAAAGAGGCAGAAAGAGGTTAAGTGTATTGCCTAGGGTCAAGGAATCCCTGGCTGCATTGAACTCCTCTCCCCAGTGTAGATGCCTATAGACTGGGAAATGGTGAAACTAATTTTGGTTCATGAATATAAAGAATATCACTGTGTTATAAGGGATGAAGAACATGATGAGTATAAGCAAGTATGGCAAGACATGAGCTGATGCAAAGCAAACAGAGGCAGAAAAAAATTGTGCAATTATTATAAAATATAAACAGAGTTACAACCATAAAATAATCGAAACTGAATACTGCAAGATTGTAAAGAAGAGCTTCATCCCAAAGAAGATATTAGGAGAATCCTCCCCCTCCCCCTCTAATTCCTTTGTAATATCCATAAGTTTGGAGGTCTGGAACATTGCATGTGATGTGAGATTTTTTTTTTCTTGCAGTGTGTTGATTAATTTGCTACCTTTTTTTTTTTTTAAGTTTACCTCTTTTACTTTTGCTCTTTGAAAATTATTTATTTTAATGTATGGCTTTCTGGCAAGGGGGAAGTAGAAGAATATAGGGGAAAATGTCAGTGATATAAAAACAAAATAACACTAACATCTATTTTAAAAATAGCAATGTGACTATAGGCAGGTCACAACCTGAATAAGCCTCAGTTTCTAATTGTCAAAATAAGAATAATACTGGCTTTAGGGTCTACATCAAAGAGTTATTTTGGGAGTTTTAATAAATAAAAAATGAATGTAAAGGCAAATAATTTTGAAAAAAAATTAAGAAAAGAAACACAGATTACCTACTCCACCCACCATTCTTCAGTGCCTACAATTAATGACTTCCCCAATCCTGCTTAATGTCCTCCTATAACCTGCAGTAAATAAAAATAGAAAATTTAATCATTATTCATTGCTCTACCTTTTTTCACTCAAAAAATGATCCTTCAGAATGTGCACTAAAAAGCTAATGTCTATTTCCCACCTGGAGAGTCAATAGATTTTTTTTTAGCATAAAAAAAAGAAAACTGTCTGTGCATTATTATTGTCCCCAAATCCACATCCTTCAACCCTATCTTTTCCCACCTATTTTTTTTTCCATGAAGCAGATTTTCAAAGCAATGCTAATGGGTTGCAAATTTGAAATGTTATACACTTCACTTCACTTTGTTTCCCCTTAGAGTAAACAGCTCTCTCTTTCTCTCTCTGTCCATCTCTCTCTCTCTGTCCATCTCTCTCTCTCTCTCTCTCTCTCTCACACACACACACACACACACACACACACACACACAATGCCTAGATGTATTTTTTAACATACACCAGTGACCCTAGGTTCTCTGACCTTTAGGATTTCAGTATCAGAGCCTATGGTAGGTTAATTCTGATATACCTAAGTCATCTGTGATGGCATAACCAAGGCATTTTATGACCATACTTAAGAAACACATGAACAGCAAAGTATGATGACACATGCCTGTAACCTCTGCTACTAAGGAGGAAAAGACTGGTGAATCACTTGAGTTAGGAAGTTCTGAACTACAGTAAGTCTGAAACTGGGCTAAATCGGGCACCATTATTGTGAAATATCAAGCCTTCAGAGGTGAAGGGGGTGGGAAGGCATGTGTGTGTGTAGGGGGGAACCAAGCTGTCTAAGGAGGGGTAAACTGGCCCAGGTTAGAAACAGAGAAGGTTGACGCTTCTATGCCAATCACCAATTGGACCATAAGTAGCCCTTCCACTTTCTGCCTGGGCCAGGTAAGGGAGATCCAGTCTCAAAAACTAAAACAAAACAAAACAAAAATGCAACACCTAAACAAAAAACAAAGAAACACATAAACAAGGCATCTAGTTATGAATGAATCAAAGCAGATACCAGCAAAATGATGACTTTGTCACAAAGCCTGACTGAAGAGAAAACAAAATTATTTTGCGATAAAACCAACAATCATTTATAAAGGCTCAAATAAT